AAAATGGGGAAGAAAGGTAATCCTGTTTCCCCTGAGATTAGAGAGGAGGAAATTAGAGAGGAACAGGGAGAGAGGAAGAGAAAGAAACATATCTGTTTTAAAAATAAGTTGCAGTGGCAGATCATGGAGTGGACCACTTTTACAATTTTATCTCTCCTTACATTAGATGCTGAATTCTTTCTCCTTTCTCCTTTGTATAAATTCCTGACAGAACCTGGTTGGCTCAGTTTATCACTTTCATCATTCTGGTCATGTTTCTGTAACATTTGGTTGACTTCCAAACTTCTGACCAAAGTAAAGATGGACTTTCCTTGACTCAGGGAGCACCAAGCTCCTTCAGCTGGGTCCAGGGAAACACAAAATGGACAATGTTAAGATTCTCCTAGCGCCATTTTCCTTAAAGGTTTGAGGAACCTCCTAATGTGGGTGTGGATATGTGTGAAGCTAGGTCTGATAGGGATGTGTAGCTATTCGCTGACCCCTAAATCTATGTTTAATTCTTTGACCCAAAAAGACATCGGGAAGAACATTTGTTCAATTATACCTCTTAGGGATGAACTGGAAGCTATTACTGAAAAATTAAGGAAGTATTTCAACGTTTTCTATAGGATAGTCTTAAGAATGCTACAATACAAATTATTCTAGAAAAAAGTGATCAATCTTATTCGGGACCCCCAAAAGACCACCAGAGACCAAGATCGATGTAAGCAGCAAAGAGGTGTTTATTGCGAGCTAGCTCCGTCCTCTGTTCTGGTGATGCTGAGAGGCCCCGAGCCCAGGGTTTGCAGTTTTAYATATTCTTTGGAGAAGGCAGGGACCCCCACATATATCACAGCATCTCTTAGCAAATCATCACACACTGCGGGAAATCAAATAACAACTCTAAAACATGATTAGCACATTCACTGGCGGGAACAAGTTGGGTAGGGGTGATTGGTTACTTATTTACCGCTGTTGACCGGTGACTAGTCCTTGCTTCCCCAATGTTGAAGTATAACACCAGAGAAGCAACCCAAGGTAAGGTCAGAGTGGAAAATAGAAGTTTATTAAAGGACAGCAGAAAAGGCTTCTTCCAGAGGAAGGGGACCCAAGAGATGGAATCCGTGAAAGTGCAATTGTTTCCCCTTTTTATAGTTCTTTCAGTGATGGAATGTAGGTGGGAAGGCCTGAAGGGTGAGGCACAGGTGGGCCAAAGAAGTAATCTTCATTAACATTTCTTTGGGATGGGCTCTGGGCCTTGGGCTTTTCTGGGACTTCATTAACATTCCAAGGGCTGGAGATGTGGCTCAGCGGTAGCGCGCTCGCCTGGCATGCGTGCGGCCCGGGTTCGATCCTCAGCACCACATACCAACAAAGATGTTGTGTCTGCCGAGAACTAAAAATAAATAAATATTAAAAATTCTCAAAAAAAAAAAAAAAAAAACATTCCAAGAGTTGTTCTGCTTTTCCCAGAGTTCATTCTCAACGTGGCCTCCATTTTGGATCTTACTCGATATTAGACCCGATTTACCTAACTACACTGATTACCTAACTTTAAATCTGGCTTCAATACAACATCATTACAAAATATCTGTAAGTTGGGACATATGCTGTGCAGAAGTTTATTTCACCTTTCAAGCTAAGTGTTCAATGGTGTTGGGTGATTTCTAAAAAAGGTAAAAGCATTATTTCTCCAAGTACCCCCTCTTTATAAAAAGAAACCCAGAATTGCCCATGTGTATTTGTGTATCCTTATATTCTTATAAAAATAAAATCTAATATAGTTGACTGCTGCTAAGCAAGACTTAAGAATGCTACAAACTATTTTTAGGATTTTGTTTTGATACTCATGTCGGCAGAGGATTATATAATTATGTGTTCATAGTTTAATTTAGAAGTGAAGAGATAAAGCAGATGTAGCGGCAGTGGAGAGTTCATTTTCATGAAGATACCAGCAGATGTCAGCAAAAACTAAGGTGTTACATGAGTTTTACACAAAAACATTAACCTATTTGTAGTAGGGTAACCATAAAGAAAGTAGAAATCTCTAATAACCAAGTTCAGTCCAGATAAGACACTTTTTTTTTTACATTGTAACTCAACTTGTAATTACCTTTCTGGAGGTGGGGCAGGTGGTGGTGTGAGAGGCCATAGTGGGATCTAATTTTTCAGGACTGCAATAGCTTTTTTAAGGACTGAACTGTATTTAAAACATCACCACCATATAATAAAACAAACCACACTTTAGACAGGCAACTTCACTTAAAATATAATCAAATAAATCAGATCTCATACTACCCAGACACTCCATGTTCAGGTATTCTGAACACAGAATTTGTGAGTACATGAATATTTATTTTTTCCTGCGGAGATAGTCCATACATTTCATCAGCTTCCCCCATGGGTCTCTGACTTCTGTAAAGAATGATGCTAAAACTTATTAAATGTATAGATATATTTTTATTAACAAATCATTATGTATGTGTCAAAATTCACTTGTTCAAAATTACTTGCTGGACTCTAGGTCAAGAAAGCATTTTTAGAATAGAGTGTCAAGTTGTAGAACAGGTTGTTATGTAGAATTAGACATATTTTAAAAACAGAAAAATTCTATGTATTATATCCCAAAGGTTAATAGCTATATTCTTACATGTAATTGTAAAAAGTTGGAATAAGGTCACAAGGGATGACATTCATTTTATTCAAATATATACAAGCACTTTTACTTTAATATTTGTGACCAGCATAAGACCAATGTTTGAGTGGCTTTACATTAAATTCTCTACAGAATCTTTATAAAGCATAAGAGTTTATATAACTTTTATTTGCTTTTTAGATGAATATATACTAATTTAATGCTTAACATTTTGTAGTATAAAAGGGGTCTAGAAGATTTCATTGTATTCTATATTTGTAATCTGGATTAAAAATAGTAAGTGAACCTGTGATGTTATTAAAAAAAAAAATACAACTCTTATCTGGGCCCCTAAGTAGGAATGCAGAATACTAGCAAAATTGTTCCAAGTAACTTGCTTTTGAAAAACTTAATCATTACTGTCTTTGAAAAGTAATAGATCTATTTGAATGAATGCTGAAATATAGCCATTTAAAACTTAGTCATTTATTCCAGAGATATATTCTGTTTATAATTTTTTTCCCAATATCTTTATTTTTATGTTGTGCTGAGGATTGAACCTAGTGCCTCACAGATATGTTCGAGGCAGGTGTTCTACCACTGAATGACAGCCCCAGTCCTTATAATTTTTTTAAACATTTTTTTTAGTTATAGGTGGACACAATATCTTTATATTTTACGTGGTGCTGAGGATAGAACTCAGTGTCTCACGCGTGCTAGGTGAGAGCTCTACCTCTGAGCAACAATCCCAGCCCTATATCCTGTTTGAAGCAAAGAGAAAGTGTAAGATTATCTCTCTGAAGAGTCTAAGCAATGTACAATCTAACTTATACTTAGAAATCCCTCCAAAAAACAAAACAAAACAAAAAACTAAGTTCTAATGATCCTAATTGGAGTCTGTTTGTATCCTCTATAACAAAATATTTTCTTCATTCAGAAAAAGTTAACAATCTAACACCTGATTTAAATATATAAAGTTAAACTATTCCTTTTGCCAGTGCTCAGTTCAAACATAGATAAGGAATTGACTTTTAATTAGGTCAAAGAAAAATTATAACTTCAAAATGACATTTAATTTCAAAGTAGAAAATGACACTGCATCAAAGTAAAACCAGTGATTTAAGAGAGCATTTAAAAAAAAAAAAAAAAAAACAACACTCCAGTGGACAATTTAAACTGGCTATAGAAATTTAGTTTCAACAGCTACAAAATATTTCAAATTGCCAAAAGTTCATTCAATTAACTGAGGTATCATATTTGGAGAAAACAAAAACTCAGCTTATAATTTTCTAGGTGGTAGGAGCCTTTAGACAAAATGGTGGGTAAATGTCTTAAAAAAACAAAGTGCAGAAGTATCATTGTCCCATCCTCTGAGCAGCACCCGCACAAATTCCATACCACAGTTCAATCTATTTCCAAAAAATCTTATTTATATCCTGTTCTAACCACTATTTCTCCTTTTTGTCATTATCATTCCCTTAAGAAATAGTTTTTGATCTCTTAATCCTCATCAGTCATCTTATACAATTTCAATAATAGATATAATGTATGTTTATGTATATTCATGTTTTATACATAAAAAGAATATTTTTCTCCCACAGAGAATACTCCATATAAATAATGAAAGTTTTATGGTACTAATATGTATTTTTATTTAAGTTGGGAGAAAATAAATATATTTTAGTACTTAGATATATAGATTATTTTCAAAATAGCTCATAGTGTCAGTATATCAAAATCAGTTTTCTCTGAAGGAGGCATTGTTTCCAGCTATAGGCAGTCCTCATTTACATGGTGGTATGGGACTATAACGATGTCCAAGCAAAGCAATCCCAATGATCAATAAAGAAAATTACGATTATTCTATGATCTTTAAAAACCTGTAGGAGTATTAAACACTCTCAACTGTCAGTTATAAATGTAGATAAAAATGAAAGTTTAAACATTCAGAGTGAGAGTTTTATTTTATTGTAAAATACTAATCAGGAGTAGTTTGAACACAGCTTGCCTTCTCTAACTTATAATGCTGAGTCAGCATCTCCTATACTACAGCAACTTATGTACCTTTTCAGTTGGGATCAGCTTCCACCATTTATTATTGTTTGTGCTTTCTATGTTGTGACCTACTCCTGTGTTAACAATTAATATTCTTTAATGTGAAAGTTTTGCCATTACTTCTCCATCACAACTGCTTTCCTCACTTATGTTGGTAAGTCTGTTTAGCAACACTCAGTTAGTCACTGTATAGCAACTGTATCTAAACACCCAGAATCAGTGACATTTTTTTAAAACTCCACTTATGTTCAAATTATTACTTTCAGCACTATTATTGTTCACTTCTTTGCTTCATTTTCAATCTTAGATGGCCAATTTTTTTGATTATCCACTTTTATAAAATATCACACTGGGTGATGACAATGTAACTATAAGCTTTGCTGTAGATGAACTAAATGCATACATTCAAGGACCAATCACAAGCAGAATTTGAAAAAAGATAACATAATTGGTCACACTTGTTACTTAATAATTTCTGGACAGAGGTGCTAATACTTCACAAGATGAACAGCTGATATGCTACCCTAACTGAATGTGAACCATGCTCTTAGGAGGCTGGTGTTATTTAACTAAATTATGGTCACTGAAATTTGTGCCTATGGGAACCACGCAAACTGAGGACTGCCCACACCCTTCTTAACATTGACCCAGACAGGCTTAAAAGTGACTACTGAGAAACAACTCATATAAATTTACATCAAATAATGAACTTAAAGAAACCCAAATGAAACATTAGCATACATACACTTTGGTAGTTTTCAAATTTTTGTTATTTGACCATCATGCTTAAAATGTATCTTAAGAGTAACAGAATTTTAGAAATCGAGGAACTTTACAGACTCTAGTGGTTTGATATTGCAAATTATCCTGCATGTTTATTATGAATTATTTCTCCTCCTTCAATTTCTATTTGCTCATATAGCCACTTGCGATCACAGCGACATTCAGCTCCACACTTGGTAGAACCACAGGCAGGACAAGCATAGAAACATCCTAAGCAATCTTCATCCAGGCAGTCACAGAGGTCCATCCCACTGAAAATCAAGAGCCCTTGGCTATCATAGACCTTACTCTTCGCTGGTATCACTTGTCTGTAAAATAAAATGTAATGAATTATACCTCATGAATATATTACTTTTGAATATTTAACTGAAAATAGGATAATGAAAAAAATTTAAGGACATTAAGTATTTTGAATTAGGGATAAGGTCCTGCTAAAGTAGTATGTAATTTATCAGGCTTACAGCCAATTCTACAAACAGTAAATGAGAGGACGTGCTAAGAATTGAATCTAGAACCTTGTGTGTACTAGGCAAGCATTCTTCCACTCAGCTATATCTCCATTTCCCTGAAGTCCATTTAAAAGTCAGTTCAACAAAGGAACAGACAAGAACTTTGTCCAGATCATATGTAAATTTCTGCTAAAATTATTTTCCTTTAAAGAAAAAATAATGGCTAGTTAATAGTGGTTTACTTTATTGGTTATCAATCTCTTCACTACTTTGTGAACATAGTTTTTATTACAGTATACCACCCTATAAGTTTTTATATTGTAATTAGTCAATGTAAAACTTTAACAAATGGAATAAATGGAATACACAAAAATGTTAATTGCATTTAATTCTGAATATTTAGAAATAGTGAAATTTCTGAATGATTATATTTTAGAAATAGTGAAATAATATTTTAAATAATTTAGTTCTCCCATTCTTTCTGTTCATTGTATCAGAACTGTTTCTATTTCAGCCCCATGAAAAACAGGTAAAAAATAAAAAGCAATCTTGCATTCTCATAAAATTTAATTACCTTTTAGCTGTCACTCATAGAGAGAGATATACCAATAAGATAATATCATTAGGGCTTTTCACAAAGTGAATTACTTTAATTCTGCTTCAATATCTTAACCCTCATGTCAAAATGTTACCTTTTCACATCATTGTTACTTTCTTGGAAACAAACTTTTAGAGTTGAAAGGGATGCTTTAATTTTCTATGAATAAACCCCAAGGTCCTTGGAGGTTTTTTACCAATTCCACATTATTCAACTTAAAATGTCTACTCAGAAAACTCAAAATTTAATAGAAAATAAAGGAACAATGCAGATGTGAAGCAGTAAGTTAGAATATGAGTAAATGCATAGAATACCTGTCTGAACCAGCAGGTGCATTTTTGGTAAGCCTTCTTTTTTCTCTTTTACCAGTTTCTGGAGCAAATTCAGTTTGCTTTCCTGGGTTTGTAAACTGTAGTGACCTCAAAGCTTTAGCAGTTCTTCCCTGAATAAAGACAAGCAAATTATCCATTAAAATTTTGTCATTAGAAAATAAATAAATACTTCCCTTAGTATTGACCCAGATTTATTTCTTAACCTGGAACACAGAAAAAAGATTAGGACCCAAGTGCAAGAAAACTTACTTAGTCCTTGAGTATATTAAAACTTTTTTATTAATAACATTTCCATTATGTGATTTTAGTCTCCAGCAATTAGGTGTAGAGGTGGGCTGGCATAGTGACAACTGCAATGGCTGCTGGTATATGGGAACAAAGGCAGAAAAACTGCTATAACCCAATGGCACAAAACTGAGCTTCCTGATAACAACTTTGGGTCCTTAGGAAAGTTTCTAGTACTAAGAAATGAGAAGCAATATGGTTTCAAGTTCTGAAATAGTATGATATTTTTAAATAGCTTTGATAAAACAAAATTTTGGTGCCTAAGGGCTTATGTTTGTTATTTGAGGAGGTGAAAGAAAATGGTCTTTCAAAACGTTTGCATTTACCCTGAATCACCCTTGGGTGATAAAGATAGTGGATTTAGGAAAAGAATAACACAATAACACAAGAGCAATGTACACATAAGATGAAGACATCTGTTACAGTTATCAACAAGTATCTATAATGAACTGCAGATAAAAATGGGTTGTAGAGATATGCCTTAGAACAAAAGGAAAATAATACATAATTCATATAATTAAAAAATTTAGTTATCTTTTGTCTTATTAACATAATGAAAAAGAGGAAATTCAAAAATTCCAGCAGCAAGAATTATAAAATGGCTGTAAATAAAAATTTTGAGACATACTCTTAATATACTTGTCACATGCTATGGTTTGGCTATAAGATGTCCCTTGTAAAGTTCCTGTGTTAATGCAGGAATGCCCAGAAGTGAAATAATTAGATTATGAGAGCTATAACATGATTAATTCATCCTAGTGACGACTTTAGACAGTGGGAAGTAGCTGGAGAAGTTAGGTCACAGGGGCTTGCCTTGGAAGGGTCAATCTTTCCTGCAGTCCCACCCTGTTCTCTGCTTCCTGGCTGCCATGAGGGGAGTAGCTTTCTTCTGCCATCTCCTTCCACCATGACATTCTGCCTCATCTTGGGTCCATAGCAACGGACTCAACTTCCTATGGATTAAACTTCTAAAAATATGAATCCAAAATTAACTTTTCCTCCTCTGCGGTATCCTTGTCAGGTATTTTGGTCACAGTGACAAAACAGCTGACTAACACATCACATGATAGAAAAAGTATTACTATACATACATCTGATTCAGGTTTTCTTCTCTGGCGGTCTTCAGAATCAACATCCACACTTCCGTTGATTATCTGTGTACATTTTGGACAAAGTTTCCAACCAGGTACAAGCTGTCTTCCAAATTTTGCACTCAGAAAAGTGGCATCATCTAAGTCAATTACATGCAAATTTTTTTTGGCTAGCTTTTTGTGTATGTTAAATGGATCACAACATGACTTCTGCAAATCTTCAAATCTGTCAATGTAAATTTTTACATGATGGAAGCAAATTGTATTGTTTCCAGAAAGTGTCATTCCAGTTCTAAGTTGAAGTAAAAGCATATCATTTGATGATAATTCTTGTAGAGTCTTGAAACCTGTGTGACGAGTATAGTATGTTTTATGGCACTCATTTGTGGTACGAAGCTGTACTCCAACTGAACATGGATCCATCATTCTTGACTCTTGCAAACTTTCTCTGTTTTATTTTGTCTAGATATCTTTCTTTAGTAGGTCATATGCTGATTACCCTAGAAAAAACATTAAAGACAGATTTGTTTTGTAAACTATTTTACCTGGAAAACCAAAAAAAAAAAAAATTTTTTTTTGATAAAATTCAGTATTTGTTTCAAAAAAAGAAAATCTCTCAGCAAATTAAGAATTGGGAGGTATTCTACCAGAATCCTACAATAAACAGTACTATCTTTAATCATCAGATGTCAGAAGCATTCCTTGTAAGATCAAAACTACACATAATATCTGCTATCACAGCTTCTATGTAAGACAATATTAAAAGGTATAAGGATTAAAATGAAAGATACAAGAAGTATTATTTGAAGATGACACAAATATCTACATGGGAAATATAAGAGGTTCAACAGACAAACAATTAGAACCAGTAAGAGAATTTAGTAGAGATGATGGAAACCAAAACCACTTACAAAATACCTTCCAAAATATATAAATCTTGCAAAAGATACGCAAGATCTTTATGGAGAAAATTATCCAAACTGAAAGACAAAAAAGACAATATAACTAAATAAAGCTATGAATCATGGGAAGCTTGACTATAGTAAAATATGCCAATTCTCTGAGAATCCATATATAAATTCAATGCTCTTCCAATCAAAATCCCATCAGATATTCTTCTACCCATAACCTGATGCAAGCTAGCTGACCTATATGAAAGACCAAAAGTTCAAAAGGGAAATAAAACAAGATATTGATTTACTATAAAGCTGTTATAGATGAGGGCTTGGTGTATAACATGCGGTACTATAAATCTTTGGCACTTTCTGCGCAATGCAATAATTATTTATCCTTCAAGACATCACCAGCCTCTTCTATCTCATGCAGCCTTACTCAAATACTATTGTTAAAGGCTTCCTTCCTGTGTTTGCATAACACTTTCATTGTACTGAAACTTTTTCTCTACTACCTTGCAGATGGCAGACAAGAACATGATGATGTCATTTTCTCTATCAACCAATATCAAAAATTAACTTTAAGAACTTCATTTTTCATAGCAATATCATATGCTTTTTTTTTTTTTTTTGGTCACTTGTTAATCTTTTATACATTTGGGTCTGTGAGGGCGAGAAATCCCCTGAGGCCTTTTCAGAGTTGTGGCTTCTCTAATTAGCACAACACTGGGACTTAACAGACACTTAACAACCTCTTTAGAATGAGTTCAGAAACTCCCAGAATCTCAAATCAGGAAGGCTGAATCTCCCTTAAATCAATGATACTAGGTCCAAGGATCCTACAATTATTCTCATCTTAAACCTATAACGGTCCCATACAAAACGCCCCTCGTTAATGGTTATATCAAAATGATTCAAATAAGCAGATACGTCCAATGACCACCTACTACGTTCATGGTGCCAGGAGGAAAGAAAAAAATTTTTACTTGGTTTCTGGCTTCAAGCAAACTGTTAAGGGTGAGAGATTTCTGATTTAAAAATAAATACAAGCAAGGAAAGACATAAACTGCATACAGGGTTCGAGGCCACAAAAATTCTAAGTAGCTCGATCCTAAATTAAGAGCTTAGAGGGCTGCGGGCCTCCCCCAGAGAGGCGACAGTCGCAAAGGAGACACAAGTGGCAGAAACTGCGCTGGGCTTTTACCCAAAGGGTCGCAGATGAACCCGGGGAAGAGCTGGGGGGACCCACAGGACGAGAGGCTGCTGTAGAGCTCGGGGGAAACCACAGGATGGGAGGCTGGGGCAGACCCCAGCCGGCAGCTGGAAACCCCCTCACCAGCGCGGGCCTCCGCTACCAACTCCTTAGACACCTGGAGGCCCTCGGGCTCCTTCCCCACTTAGGGACCGGTCTCCACGTTCGCGCACCTCCAGAGCCACCCCCAGCTCCCGTCCACCTTAGCTGGAGTTTTCCGCGGGGTACCGGCAGCACCACATACAGGAAGGCCTCACTCGGTAGCCCGCCTTCCAGGTCGTCCTCGAGCTACCACAGAGAAGACGGTGCGCGCCGGCTAGAGAGGCCCAGCGCCACCATCAAGAGAGGCCCGAGAGAAGCCTAGAGTGGAACCCCGCCTGGTCGCCTCCGGGAGTGAAAGGGACTCTGTGGCCGGAATTGGTAAATGACTCAACGCGAGGCAATAGTTGCTTCAGACGCTGACTGGTATTTACCGTCTCCTCTCGGTTAGGGAATTGGGCTATCTCTAGGGTTCAACTGTTACGAGACACAGGTTCTGCTAATTTTAATTGCCTTCAAATCTCTCCGCCTGTGCACGATACCAAACTTTTGCTCCCAGATACCCCTAACCCCTGATGGGAGTGAATGCGTTAAAAGCACCTCAAGRACGAGCCTTTGATTTAAGGTCACACATTTTATTTTGCTTCTTTCAGGCAAACGAAATATTCTATTTTTTTTTAAATAATGAACTACGAAATAGCTATTATTTTGAGTAAAATTTAGCSTCCATAAAATTTTCTGAGGGAAGAAATGGTCTCCGTGTATCTCTATTGTCTGCCACAAGTAGGCGCTCATTAGTTTTTAAATCGGACTTTATTCACCTGCATTCATCTAGTGCTCCATGCTCCCTTCTCTTCTTCCTCTCTCCCCCCCCCCCCCACTTTCTTTTTCAAAGGCATAGACGGAGGATTTAGGAAAGTAGGTACATATTCAAGGGAGAATGGGGGCAATCTCAAGAGAGATGCCTTTGGGGTAAAATGAAGTATCCACATTCAAGAAAGCAGAGCATGCTGGCTCTCTCTAGAGGGACAGACAGCAACCCAGTGGTGTGGGGGTACTAACATCTATAGAGGGCTGGTTGTTAGGGGCTGGGCTAGAGGTAGAGGCAGGGTGGAGCGGCATAATTTCACTCCAGTTTTCTCTGCACTTGAACATTGGGTGCTTCTAGACTCAGTATATCTCTCTATCCCAAATTCCTAATTCGCTGCAGCCCCAGACATTGATCCCTTAATCTGAAGGGTTGGTGAGCGAGAAAGATCCATCTTCTGTGATTGCTTGGGGGGGGGGGCATGTGTAATGAACCTGCCTCCTTAGAGATCAAAGATCTCATCCTGACTAATCTGAAAGAAAAAGACACTGGTCTCAGTGTGGGATGAGTTGGAATTCTTGTGTTGCCATCGTCCTAACATAGTATTCTTGTAATTCTGGAAGATACAAACTCTATTAGAAGATTAAAAAGGCAAGGGCTGAGCAATAGGAGCAGAAGTATAGTTACCAGAGGTTCTAATAGCAGTTATGGTCAGGTGAGGCTATGCAGGTAATCTTTAATAGTTTTTATTTGCCTGTATACATCTCAGGATCTGGATCCCCCCCCCCCAAAAAAAAAGCATGTCTGTCAAATCAGACAAATTAACTTAGGGCAAACTTACTTTAGCAGAGTCTCTTTTCATAGTTATCAGACACCCATGCATAAGGCTTAATGTCTTTTCCACTGAAGGTTTGTGATCTTTTAACCATAATGATGTGGGCATAAGAGGTCAACAGAAAACAAAAACTATTGTATTTTAATCTGCAAGTGAATGACATGGGACAGGCAAATAAGGTCCACCAAAGCCCATGCTTGCTTGTAATTTCATATATCTACTGTAAATTGTTTTCTAAAGTGAGTTTAAAGTTCTTTCCAACATTTTCATCTTTCATACTCCTCCTCAGCTAAGCAGGATTTTGACACTGACTGTATTATACCAATCTTARAATTAGGGGATGGGAGAAAGGCAAAAACCATGGCTAATCCTCTTAACTGATTTGGATAGTTCTTTTGCTAGTTACTTTGTGGTTGGCACTTTGGTAAGTAATACTATAAATGAATAAAATGTATTCCTGCTCCCAAGGAGTTCAAAGATTAGTGAGGAATAAATTGTTAATTACAGTGTGATTTGATAAGTGCTATAATAAAAGCATAGGGATATGAACAGGATAAAATAGGAGATACTAATATGCAAGGACATTCTGTGGGGGGAAGGGATTAATGCTTGAATTGAATTGTCATATGGGAAATGAACTTGATGCAATGGTGGCCTCTAGGTGAACACTAGGATAGCTAACCCAGTGGTGTAAAACAGCAGGCTCATGAGACCAAATTAAGATTTGTGAATGATATGGCTTAATGAATCAATTTAGGTATCCAATGAAAACAGTAGGAAGGAATTGTAGTAAGTTAACATGGTTAGGATAGGGTACAAGCGAATGGAAGCCATCTACATCACTGGTTAAGCAATGTTCATATGACCGGTCTGCCATCTTTGCCTTTTCCATTGAAGCTATGCTTATAAGAGCCAGAAGTGAGGTTTCAGCAATGTTATCGTTTAGATGTGGTGTCCCCGAAAAGCTTACCATGTGAGACAATGCAAGAAGGTTTTGGAGAAGAAATGATTGGGTTATAGCCTTAACCTAATCAGTGGGAAAAAAGCCCTAAATGGATTAACTGAGTAGTAACTGGAGGCAGGTGGGGTGTGGCTGGAGGAAGTGGTTCATTAGGAGAATGGCTATGGAGTATATATTTTGTATCTGGAGAGTGGAGTTCCTTTCTCTGCTTTCTGATCATCATGTGAACTGCTTCCTTCTACCACACTTTTCCACCATAATGTTCAGTCTCACCTTGAGCCCTGAGAAATGGAGCTGGTCTTCTATGGACTAAGACCTCTAAAACTGTAAGTCTCCAAATAAACCTTGTCTCCTCTACAATTTTGCTGGCCGGGTCTTAAGTCACAGCAGCAAGAAAGCTGACTAAAATAAGCAAGGAGGCCCACAGGTGGAAAATGCTTTGGGCCGATGGCATGCATGTGCTGTTTGGGTAGAAAGTATGCCTGGCCACAACCAGAACTTACAAGTTAGGCTGCTGAACATTTGTTTGCATTTCTTTGGTAGAGAACATATGAGACTGTTGTGGGTTTCACCAATGTGTGGCCAATGTAGGAGTGACACAGTTGTCAGTCTAGAGATGTCATGATTATTCATAACTTATTTTTTTCATCCCTTTGACTATAAGTGACCCTCTGTTCCATCATATTTTCTATGTATTTTAACTCTGGCATGCCTTATAGTTTACTAACTTACTATGCATATTTAACACAACTCTGCCTATGTTTCATAAAGTACATGCTTACTCATATTCTATATTTAAAACACCCTGGGAGTTTTGCATTTATCTCATAAGCTAGTAGCTTACTTACTGTCTACAGTTAACACTTTTTATGAATTTCATACATTCCTAATTAAACTGCAGAAGAATTCAGTATGGCTGGAGAGACAAGTAGAAGGCAATGCCCTTTTTATGCTTTATTATAGATACTGGATTTKATCCTGATGGGCATTATAAAACCATAAGGAGTATGGAGAATGGGGGAGAGATGCAGTCCTGGACAAGGCATAGAATCCTTTCATCCTAATGTACATGACTGATAATGAGAGCTTCAGCGAACTAAATTAACTAAGGTAGTGGCTCTAAGGACGAGAGGGGATTTCCTTCACTCCACTCCCTGCCCCCAACAGTTGGTAACATTTGGAGACATTTTGGGTTGTACTAACCAGGGAGATGCTACTAGTATGTAGGAGGGTAAGAGCAGGGAAACTGCTGGACATCACACAATGCCACATAAACTCCCTACAACAATACTTTAGTTCTGAGGTTGAGAAACCCTAAACTAAAGGAATTAAGCAGGCATGAAGTAGATAGAAGTTAAGCAAAAAGAATTAGTAGGATTTTGTAACTGATTAGATATCAATATTAGGAAGGAGAGGATGATTTTAGGATTCTGGTTTGGGTAACTGGGAGGACAAAAAGAGAAATGAGTTAGGGAGAATAGAGATAAAGACTTAACTGTTGGATATACTAAATTTAAGACATCCAAGTGAAGATGTGCAGTTGGCAGTTAGAAGGAAGCATTGGGAGATAAGAGGAATCTGGCAAATATTGGTCTATGAGTAATAGTAGTTCTGTTTTGGGGGATGAGATAGGGTAAAGAAGATGAATTAACCAAGGAATATATAGGGTAAAATGAGAAAGAATAGGACTGAAGATTAATCCAAGTTTTTGCACCTTCATTCCATTTTACTGAATCAGAATCTCTGTCCTTATTTTAGTCAGCTTTTTCAACACTGTGACCAAAAGACCTGACAACAGTTTTACAGGGGGAAAAGTTTATTTGACGCTCACAGTTTTGTAGGTCTAGTCTATAAATATCAACTTCATAGCTCTAGGCCTGAAGTGGGTCAGAACATTAAGTTGGATGGGTTTGAAGGAGAAAAGCAGCAAGACCTAGCAATCAGGAAGCTGAGAGAGCTCCACTCACCAGGGACAAAATATATACCCCAAAGGCATGCCTTCAGTGACCACATCCTATCTATAGTTCTCACCCTGTTAATCCATTCAAGTGGATTAATGCACTGATTAGGTGAAGGCTTTTATAACTGAATCATTTTACCTTTGAACTTTCTCACATTGTCTCACACATAAGCTTTTGGAGCACATTTCATGTCTAAACTATAACAGTCCCCCAGGCCAGTCTGTCAGATCAGAATTTCTGCATATAAGGTCCAAGAATCAGTCCTGTTTGCAGGTAACCCTGAGTTATTTTGAAGCACAATTAAATTTCACAGCAATGGATTTACTCTTAAGAGAAGAAGTTGGAGAAGGAGCAATAAGGTAGCAGGAAAACTAGGGAAGAGCAGAATCCCACAAACTAATAAAGGAGAGGATTTCGGAGTTCTGGCAGTAGACAAGGTTGCTGTAGGGCTGTACTGGTCATTAGAAGTATAATGTAAATCACAAGTGGAATTGCAAATTTACTGAAAGCAATATTAAAAAGGTTAAAAAAAGGAGCAGATGAAATTAATTATAGAAACATTATTTAACCCAAATGTCTAAAACATTAACATTTTAACATGTGATTAACATAGAAATTAATCATGTATGTTATATATTTTTTCATATTAAGTCTTGGAAATCTGATATGTTTTA